GTTGAAAAAACCAGACATCACTTGAAATAAAGATAATGAATGACAAAAGACAAATGAGTTCTACATGAAAACAATTTCAGCGACAGAAACTATCATAATTGAACTCTTTTCGTTTCGGAAGCATTACGAAAAATAAACAACATTGACACCTAAAGAAAGAAAAACCATGGATGTATTTCATAACTGCTGAAAATAATTAATCGGCGTAATAACCAACTGCTGATGTTTTGTAAGTTGTTTGTGTCCTGCGGCCATTCAAACCAGCACCATAAAACTTACCTTTAAATAGAAAGAGAAGCAGAAAATGACTAACACTCGACCTTCCCCATCAGTATTGAATCTAGCAGATATTGTGACATTACGTTCAATATTGTATGATTGAAAATAACCTAGATTGAGAGAAATTAAAGATTCTAATGGTATTTCAAAAATATTATGTTGCGATGTAGCTGTCGATTTTAAAATATTGTTTTCATATGAAATTCTGATTAATGATCTTATATATCACCGAAAAACAAAATTTAAGGAAAATCAATCTAGTGAAAGACTTTCCACTTCATTCCCAATGCTTCAAAGTGACAATTGAGGGTGATTTTGATAATATGTTCTCAGTAACAGTCTCCTAAGCGTCGAGACGGACACCATTAAGATGCAATTGGATAGTCTGCAAGATAAGAGGAAGATTCATTCACAGTACAATTAGGGAAAAAATGGTAGTGTTATTAGCGAAAAGTTGTCTCAAAAGAGGGTTCTTATCACCAATGTTATGGAACTCTTTGATAGACCTGTACGACTTCTGGATACCATGGAACATAAAGAGAAACGTAGACAGCAACTAGTGGATAGTTTATTAAGATGAATGAGGGATTTCAGTCGAGCATAATAGAGTAATAATGATCTTCACAACTTTGAGTCGAAGAGATACAACTTTGGGGGGTGGTAGAATATCTGTGAGTGATACTTGATCTCAATCTGATGTGAACTGATACTTAAATATGACAAAAAAAGCGGAGGTGGCACTTATGCTGGCCAGACGCATCTGAAGAAAGACATGAGGGCTGGGACCAGACATATTATATTGGATATACTCAATAGTGGTTGAATTAATGATAAAATATGCAATTTTTCTTTGGTAGCCGAAAATGAAACAAACTATGAGTATCCACCAACTAAAAACGGTGAAGAGACTTGCTTGCCTGGAATAAAAGGAATAATGAAAACCAAATCAACAGCACCACTGGAGACACTTTTGATTCTCTGAATCTTTGTAATAACAAGAGAGTCTTGAGTGGGCTAATTCAGATTGGAAGATATATCAAGCAATAAGAGATCGGGCATAATTGAAATTTTGAAATATGTGAAGGAAACAAAAATTGAACATGTTGACGGCAGTGAAAAAGCTGAAAAGTATGCTATAAACAGGTCATCAGTTCCATATATTGGCCCTGAATTAGCTGCAGGAGTATCAGAATACATGGAAGAGGAAATCAGAAAATGGGTCATTGATAAACATAAATTTTACTTGGAATAGACATCTGGGGACCCACACGAGAAAACAGGAAAGAATTGTTTGAAACAAGTACTAAAAAAATGCTAGATCAGAGCAGGAATTGAATCAGTATAATTACTGAGTTACTCATGAACAGAGAGAGCTCATCATGTCATCTTCACGGAAAACAAAATTATCTAATAATAATTTCCGATTAATGAGCACAGCAGTCGAAAAACGAATTCAATAAGAAATTCAAGAAAATGGCTCTCTACTCCAATTTCTATTGGTTGATATACCTAATGAAATGAAAGAGCTTTCTATTGCTTTTGGAAAATGAGTAAAAATCAGAGTTATATAAGTGGGAGTCAAACTGAGAGCAATCAGTAGATCACGCATTGAATGCCAACTAGAAATAGGTATCAATTTTTTTCTCCGTATCCCTTGGAATATTCAAATTATTAACATCAATATTGTCACAAATTATTACATAGATTGAAACAATATCACGGCACACAAAATGCGTTTCTTCAAACAATTTTATGTAAATTCCAGAACTCAAATGACCAAACTGTTTCAAATTAATTGCTATGATATTTTCTGCGGAAAATCATGATTCAGGGATACTTAAAATATTTTTTTCTAGTTTGTATATTCATTTTTAATCGGAAACTTCATTTGACAGCATTTTGAGATTGCCTGAAAGGTTTACAGAGTGATAATCATTGAAATTGTTTGATAGAGAAATCTCTCAACAATAAAGTTATCTAAATACTATTCCTATAGTATTTAGATGACATACATCAAATTCATATCCTGGCGATCTTTTTCGAAAATACGATCTAACATAGAGTCAGAAAATTGACTCTTCTCCTGTGAAAAAAACATTGTCTTCATCATCAGTTGGATTCATGCCAACAATTGATCCATTTTTTTTCAACTTCAATGTCCTGTTCACGGTTTTGTCGCTTTTTTTTATTGAATTTCCGTCCTAGTTGACAACTTTTTTTGCATTCATCTGTGATCGCAATTTGATCTACTATAACATTCTTAATGAGCTTGATGGGAATGAAAAAAAATATTATTGTCTTTAACAGCCCTTCGAGCTAGTAAAAAAAATCTATAGTAACCCATTTTAAAATTCATGTCTATTAACTTTAATGATACCGCGAAATCGTAACTTAATATCAAATGATAATTATGTAAACACCCAGTAGAGAACGATGTCATTCATGATCAAAAGAGAAGGGGACATTTGCGTGAAGAGAGTAAAGGTAAGCTATTTTCATTAATGCCAGTTTACTCATAGTAACGCAGCATTTCAAAGTAGACTGAACAGTTAGTACAAGAACGATTTTAGTGTAGCTCGTGCGTGCTGTTTCGTACAATTGTACTTTATTGAATGAAAAATTCAACATAATTTCATGCAATAATTTGTGCTGAATCATCAGGTAAGTGAAAAGTGAACTTCAATCAAGAGACCACTTTTAATTCATGAAATGCTCAAAAATCTTTAGTTAACATAAAGAATACAAACTCTCAGTTCACTCACACCTAGCACTGTACTGAAATTGTTACGTTTAATCAGTAGTTTATGTGTTTATATATTCCGATTGCTCTAAATTTGAAATAAACTTAGGTTCATCAATTCCCATTTGGAGTTTATTATTTTAACCTGAGTTTTCTACAATAATATTATGCAGGGTTTTCTTTTCACTTTTACTAGTAAACTCAAAATTTTAAAATTATGTTCCTCATTGTACCTTCTTTATTTTTAGAGATGCTAAAAATCTTTTTTTACTTCACTATCAAAACTGATCCAACTATGATTGAAGAATGGTTTTATAAGCTGTCCATAGAAGTAGCTCTAGCCTCAACATTGGAATTTCAAATGCAGATCTTCATTTTTTGTAGAAATTTTTTATCAGTGATGGTCATATATTATGATTTCATGAAATTGAAGGTATTTCAATATTTCAATAATCATCATAATAAATTATTATTTTTTTATTTCGAATTTGATATCCACTCGAAAGAAAGCAATTCAAGTAGCAAAGCCCATTTCCACTAAAAAAATTCTGACATCTCCTCTAGTAATTCCAATAAGGTATGTCTAATTCGTACAACCTTTCGAAAGTTTCAGAAAAACTCAAACTTTTAGGTCCATTAATCCTCTCAGCCTACACAGTGTTTAATAAAGATTCAATCAGTGGATGTCGATGAATTAAACTCTCTCAATTTCTAACAAAAGTAACGACAAGGTATCATCCAAAATACCGGAGAAACCAACATAGATATCGGTTTTTGCTAGAAATTACAATGGCAAAGTGTCAACTGATGTTTAAATTTTTACTGCCCTGAAGAAGCTTCCCACTAGAAGCGAAAGCTTGGCAAAGTAAAGCAGAGTTTTTGATTTTTGATTTTTTGACTGAGAGACCCCGTTATTCAACAATGCGATGCATTGTTTGGAACCTTTGGAGCATCACCAAAGTTTTATCCCAACATCAAACCGTTATATCAACACCTCGACACGTGTTTCGATCACCTTCAAGAGGAAGATTAAACAGTTTATTCTTCCTCTTGAAGATGATCACTTGGTTATCGAAACACGTGTCGAAGTGTTGAAATAACGGTTTGATGTTGGGATTAAACTCCAAAATGGACATATTGAAATTATTCAAAATTTTTCTATCCGTTGACTCAATACGGTCAGTCAAATATTCATTTTTCAATACATAAACGTAACGTTCTATTTCCGTTTCCAAAATGATGGACGGCATCATAATGACGTTTCCATGATATCTTCTGAGCGATAAGTCCCGTAACAAGTGATGGAGAATTTGAGTGAGGTAAACAGCGCATGAAATACGCATGTCATTCACTTACGTCAAAACTCCTTATTCACACAAGTATCGTACAAAAACTTCCATTCATTCCAAAACAAAGGTTGCATCGATCAATGAGGTCATTAGAGACGAGACAAAAATATTTTTCATTTTCAAAATATCTCTTTTTTCTATTTCCATCAATATGAGGTGGATGAAATTCATCAACCGAAAGAGGAGGGAGTCATATATTTGGTGTTATGTATCACCAAATATTACAAGATTGAACATCTTGTAAAAATCAAGGTGGATGACATCTCTCTTTTCGAAAACGCCATCTATTGTTTCTACAGAGAAATCAATTTTCGAATATCTATGGTGAACGAAGTTACCCAAAGCGGTCAGTTGCAAAGTTAAGCTTTGACATCAACCACCGAAAAAATTTCTTATCCGTATTTCACTGCAGCTTTTACTGCAAGACAACCGGTTGAAATACAGAACCCAAAACATTGGTGATCCAACAACAGACCTGCCATAGGTCTCATCATGTGTTAGTCCAAACCAAAAATGCATTGCTGGATTGAACTGTCCTTAGAGAACAAGGGCGACGATATCTCCCCTTATGAAGACGACATCTATAGAATCAGCAGAATAACTCAAGCACCAAATATCTGAAGTGAACGAGGCACCCCATGGGAAAAAATATTACCTAGAGAGATATATAAAAAGTAGATGCATCTTTGAACATGTTTAAGAAATATGTTTAAAATATGTTTTTCGTTAACCAGCTATCGCACCCCTATGAACGGCAATCCTCAGAAGTGCTAGCTAAATACTAACGAGGTCTTACTTTTTAAGGCGTGATTCCTAACACGGGTGCAAATAAATGTCAACACGTTTGCGGTTAACAATTTGCGAATAGATATATGGAGCAACGAAAAAAACCATTCCAGTATAAATATTTTCTGGAAAAAAATTCTTGTTAATCAGTATCTCTTTGCTCGACTCCTTTGAATCCTCAAAAACAACCACAGAAGCTGCCACTATCGATCTGAAAATCCGACAATATTATTTTCAACAAAAAAATTAAAAACTAGAATTTACTGTATAGATAGAGGTGTGAAATGAAGAAATGAACTGGAACCTTTTTGGAGAATAAATCTAAAACAAGTACTGTTCCCAACTTGGAAGAAATTGATAAGAAGTGACAGTTTTTAGCCACCTGAGCTGTTTCAGAAGAGATGGTTTTTTTAGATAAGATATGTTTTTCCTTTCTAGTTCTCTATTTCCATTCGAAATTTGTGGAGAAACTCCAGAGAAAAGAAAGGAATTAAGTTCAGAAAGAACTCTTTACAAAGATGTGAAGATCGTACATAGAAATCATTTTCAGAGACAGCCCTCCTGAAACCACTACCCTTACATAAACATTATACTACTATTATATTATAACTACTATTATACAAAAACCAATTTTTTTCTAAGCAGTTTTCACTCTGAACATTCGTTCGTTCGGAATTTCGGAATAAGACACTTAATAACACATTTTATTACGTCACCAGCATCTCTCTGGATAATATTACTAGACGAAGCGCTTTTTCATTCATAATGTTATGACTTTATGTCATAGATGAGAAAATCACTTATTTGTGTTGCACTGTTTGAAACCTTTGGTGTAATAATGAATATTACTGGAGTTTGATCCTAACACCTTGACACGTGTTTCAATCACCAAGTGATTGAAAGGTGTCAAGGTGTTAGGATTAAACTCCTCTTCGAGAGGAATATTGGATCAGTTTAATATTCCTCTCGAAGATGATCACTTGCTGATTGAAACACGTGTCAAGGTGTTAAAAATAATGGTTTCGTGCTGTAGTAATATTCAAAACTATTTATGATTCGATAATACTACGTAAAGACTTTCTTATGCTTATATGATTCATTTGCAGACAAATGTATCTCGTTCAAATTGACAGTAGTATATTTTTTAAAGGAATTAGCTCTAGGAAAATGGAAAGTTTTTTAGGATTTCTATTTCTCAATCTTTTCAAAAGAGTTGTGGGAAGCTTCCAGACGCAAGAAGAAAGTATTTAAGTTAAGAATAAAATATTTTGAATGATGTGTAGATCATACATAGAAGTTTCTTTCAGATAGAAACTGGAAGGTAAATTCCTCCCGAAACAACTACTTTGTTCAACATTGAATTATTGAATTAACGTCACAATACCCGAAGATGAATGAGGATATCTGACTAACTGTGGTGAATTATGTATTGAAAATTTGGACATCGAGAACTTGGTTTTCAAAAAAAAAATCGATTTCAAATTAGACTCAAAAAAGCGTTTATTATCTTCGAGAGCAGTGCAAAGAATGAATATTTATTAGGACAGTTATTAAAATATTTGAAATATAATGAGTCTCGGGCTCCTGTAGATAAGGCACGTTTCTTGACATCTGGTACCACGTAACTGGTGTAAATTACATCATACCTATTTCTGAGTTTTTTTCGCTTTCGGTATATATCAATGATTTGAATCACTATTTCAATCTTTGCAAATTTTTGCTATGTACTGATGACTATATCATTATTTGAATAGCCTGATGGCTTATTGTGAAACAAATCATTTGAATATCAATACAGAAATGTATTTGTCAATTCAATTCACCAAAAATACCTATTCATTAAAAACAGGTCATAAAGTAAATAATGAAATGGACACAAAAAATCTCTCATTTTTTTATATCAAAATGTTTCCTTATTCCAATTTACAATATATTTCAGACTTTGAAAATGTAATGAGTTCTAAATTCCATTCAGTCTTATTCAAACTAAGCTGAATTCTGATATAGTCATTTGGTCATCATGATGTTTATACGTAACAAAATTGAGAAAGATATTGAATAAGTTGTATAAATGTTTGAACTTCAAAGTTACCGGTATTTCTCAATTTTCAGACACTTTAGGTTAGTTTTTCTCCATTCTTTCACTCTAGGAATAGTGTTCAATTCTCAAAATGTTTAACAAGATGGTTTTTCTCAACCCTACTATTGTGTGGTCCTTTTCCGGTTTCTGCTGAAATAAATACGAGGTTGCGATTGTATTATATATCAAAACGGCAAAATTTCTAGAATTCAAGATTCAAGTCACTAATAATGAAATCTGTTGAGAATGTATTCAGTAAATGAAAAATTTCTTCATTTTGATGAACATAAAATATTCAAACAAACTTTTGTAACACCAATAGGAGCAAAAATAAGCCCCATGGAGTTAAATTTCTAGGATTGAAGATTTTTTGGAAAAAAAAAGGTTTTAGCTTTCTACTTCTCCATCTTTATAAAGATGGAGAACGGGTCAACTCAAAATATTGAAATTTGGAATAATGAAATTAATGCACGAATACTTCATTTTGAAGTGAAATTGACAGATGAAACTTTTTTTAAAGCTCCTGACACATGCTTCATAACCCTAGAATATAATGTCAATATCTTCAACTACTACAAAATGACGAAACTTTTAATAATTGCCTGCATACATTGACATTCAACTACATAATATGAGGTTATAAGCTTGAGGTCAGTTCAGACGATGCTCAATATGGTTGCCTTGAACTTCTTGACACATGAACAGA